ACATATATATAGTATAATATATACAAATTTTAACACTATGCAACAATATGCTTTTTTTCAAAGATTGTACAATAAATTCTTATACAGCACGCGTGTAATTCATTGGCCTTTTGACACCTGCTTGTTGATAGGATATTAATTGTTATAGTTAATATGATTCAAAGTAATAATATTACTGTAACTATATATTTAATATCATACATACGTACAATGTCATTTAACGCTACTATTTGGTGGCAGGTGCACACCCAAGCTGCCTACAAAATGATACCAAGTTTTTTGGGAAATAACGAATTCCTTGCATTTTGAATAACTAAATCATCTTATCATCAACTATTCTAAATCTGCTTTTTTATATTTGTTTATATCTTAAAATCATTTTGTTTTAAAATTTTGTATGATTTATTTTCTCAACTATCCTAAGCGCGGGGAGGGCACATGATTATGTAAAACTTATAACTAAAATACATAGTTTTAACTCTCTAATAATTGATCAAATTTTTCTTATAAAAAAGAATCATTTTTAATATCTTATAAATATTATAACTATTTTCATTAAATCATATAAAATTACATATGAAATTCATTGTTTTTTCGATAATTAGAGGACCTATTAATTGTAAACGATGAATGACAAGTAACGAAGTATGAGCTTTATTTCGTCGATATATAATATTTTGACAATGTCTCTGTCATATATCATGTTTTGTATGAAATAAATGCTTATATACTAATATTGACCAAAAGGAAGTGCGAAGCAGTTGCTTGTTAATCGTTATTTGTTTTATATTCATTTCTTCTAATATATTAATTTTTATTTCTCATGAGTGTATGCAAAACACTTAAATTATTAATTGTTAAAATAAATGAAACAAATCTTTTATTAGATTTGTGTAAATGAATTTCTTTTTTTTTTAATCATATAATTTAAAATAATTAAATATTTAAGGAAAGGCAGTGCTTCCCACTAACTATATTTCTTTCAACTATCGAACTATTCAAAAACTTAATGTTAACATCAATCAATCATAATTAAATTACTAACAAACTGTTTTTCTTTTCTTTCTTTTTAACCTTGGTTGCCCATGGCCTATAGGCTTGGAGTGCTAACAATGGAATCCACTCGCCCGTGCTAACACCTGGACTCTGGAACAACATCCGCGTTCGATCGGTTCACCAACCAGATGACCACCTTCGTCGTTCGCATCACCAGCCCTGTTCTTCGTCAAGTTTATCCATCCTGTACCCTCGTGTTTTTAAATTGTATAGCCTTGTTTAAATTGCTTTGCTCGTTTTGTTAGCGTTTACTTTTACTGGCGTTTACCTCAACGTCGGACAGGTAATTAAATCTCTGATTGTGAGTTACTTATTGATGAAAAAAGATTTTCCATTTTCTGTTTTTGAACAATAAGAAATATATCATTCAATTTAAATTATATAAATTCAATTAAATAGGATCATGGTTAAATGTGTATTTTGATTTTCAAGACAACGAACAACAGTTATTCTATTCCGCAAAAATGGGTTACAATCATGACTATTTTTCTATTACGCAGATCTTTTCAATGAATAGAAATTTATTAACAATGCAAATATAATTTATTATTAATTTTTTCTTCATTTTATAAGTGGAGAATCATTCGAGTTATTATTATTTAATATATTCTATCCAATAATGATTGATTTTTCATTGATTTAGTTTGTTTAAATTATATCAGATACAATTCGATATAATTTCTTGATACAATTTATGAAACAATTCGATTTTTCACGTTAAAATATTAACTTATTCGTTATTAAGATACGCGAAATTTCAAACTTTTCCATATATAAAATGTTTCATAAAGCGTGATATAACTAAAAAAATGATTGATTTTTAATAAAATATTCATTGAGAATCAATGAATCATTGAATAATTTATAAAAAGTTATTTGACATAATTTATAAAAATAAAAATATTTTGATATTAAGATACATTTTTAAGATTTATTTTTTTGTTTCAATTAATTTTTTATTATTATTTCTCATTCATAAATTAATTATTTTATTTACACTTTAGCTTGATTTGTAAAATTCATTCTATTTAATATCTTTGATATCATTTTTCAAGTATATGTGATTAGTAAAAATTGAATTTCTGACGATATATATCATAAAATATTAGTAAATGCATTATTACTATTATAACATTATTATAAATAAGAATTTATAATAATTTTTTTTTTTATTATTATATTTATACATTGTTTTTAGAAAATATTCTGAAAATACTTGGTTCAATCATCGTAATGATGATAATAAATAATGATGATAATAATGAATGATGATAAAATATTAAATTTTTAATAATACATGCATTTTATATTTATGATTAATATCTAATATATTTATAATTAAGATAAATTTTGATTGAGATTATTTTAATAGATAACTTCATGATTGAGCATATAAATGCAATTATTTGATTGCATGCATAAGAATATTTATATATAACTAATAGATAGTAAAATTGCAATTAACAATAATATTGTTATTTACAAATTATTTTTTAAATTAGTTTGTTATTAATATAAGAATCTCATTTTTTTGTTATATCACACTTTTTAAACGTTCTGTCTAAAATAAAAAAAATTCATTTTAAGAGATCATATTGCGATATACATATTTTTTTTATTTAATCGCAGATTATAAAACGAAATTTTTTTTGCATAATAGTTATATCAATTTAGTACTTACATCTTTATTAGAGCAAAATGAATAGGGAGAGAAAATGGGCTAAAAATTTAAATAATATTATATATTTTATGTAATATAGAAAATAATATATTCATGTGTAATAGGTGCAATATAAAATCAAAATTTGTTTTCATTTTGATTAAATGAATTGAATACTTTGACTCAGGAAAAGAAAAAAGCTTGAAGATACAAATTTAAGAATATTTCTATTTAATGTTAAGTAAAACAATTCTTCACATAGATAAAGTTTTAATGGCATATGAATTAATTGTAATATTAATACGTACTTTAAATACGTATTACATAATATAATATAAACGAATTTTTATAGATTAAATATTTTACATCTATTTCTTCAAATTTACTTATTAATTTGATCAATTTACTAACTCTTATTAATTTGATCAAAGAAAAGTAAAAAAATCAAAATTCGATTATGTTAAATAGATATTAAGAATATTAAATGTCTCTTTAAATAGTCTCTTTGTTGTGTGGCTAGAAAGAATCTCCATTTTTTAACATAAAAAAGATATAACACTTTATTATTTTATAATTTAAAAATTCTATTATATAATATTACGGTGCAATTTACTTGTAAAATAATAGATATTGATCATTTATTGAATATTTTTAATTTTGCGTATTTAGATAAATTTGCATAAAAATCCTTTTATTTTAATAAATGTAGATAAAAAAAAATCATGTTCAAAACTGATATTCTCACAAATCATAATTAAAATTAACAACAGTTGTTTTAAAAAAAAAGTTGTTTATTATCTTTTTCGTTATTTGCAATATATCTACATTTATAATGTTATATAATGAAGTTATCTATATAAATGAGAGTGTTTATATATGAGATTGATTTATTTACCATTAAATATACCATTTAGATATACAAAAATATTCTGTTGATTCTTTAGATTTGCCATATGTACATGTATTAATAAGAACGTTTTATCATGTTAATTTGTGTATATTTAGTAATCTATAACAAGCTTGTATTTTAACAAGCATTTCGAACATTTTCGATTATCTAAGGAGAGACAACTATTACTTTGTGTAAATAGATTGTATTTTTTGATCTAATTGTTCTCTAAGAGTGATCTGAATTCTACTTAAGTTTATAGCTTAAAGTAGCATATTCATTATATTATATTCTATAATATGTATAACTAAAAATATATTATACAAAAGAAACATAAATATTTTACAAATTCATATAGGAGTAGGGGAAGTTGAAAATTGATGAAACTTTTGCCGTGTATTTAGTGCAATAATATGATTAGAATATATATATTCCTTCTATTATTGATTTATAATACATAACGTACATAAATTAACGAACATAAAGATTTTTTTTAGTAATAATATTAATCATTTATTAAATTCATATATTATTCATTATGAATAATTTCTTATTGTAATTACTTTTAATGATAAGAAAAAAATTAAATATTCTAAAAAAAAAATATTCTAAATTTCAGAAAAAAGCAATAATCGACATATAAGTTAATTTGTATAATATATAACAATGACATATAACAATATATAAAAATAAAAATTATATATTTTCTTAAAAATTAAACATTTCCCAAATTAAAAGTATATTATTATCATATATATTATAAATTAATTATTTAATTGAATATATATTGAATCCAATATATTTAATATATTTTAAATTCGGCAAAATAGTCTCCACTTTTTAACTTTCCCTTAAAATAGATATTCACTTGTTTCTTTTACGTATCGTATTATCATTATATATCAGTATAAATAAGCAAATGTTTCACTAAGCATATTAGAATTGATATGAAATATGAATATATCAATCGACTATTTATTAGTTTTTTACTATGATATTAAAAATATACAATATGTCTACTTTAAATCTATATCTATTATAAATCTATTTGAATGAAGAATGTTTCATTTTTAGTTTTTTGTTTATTTTTTGTTTATTTATGTATATATTTTATCAACTTTATGTTTCAATAAGTTGTACTCATCTTTTGATAGAAATATGTAATGATGAAACAAGTGGATATTTATTAACAATATATTGTTAAACTATTATATATATCTATTGACTGTTTATATGTAGATGAACTTACATGTTTTTTAAGCTTTATACTAGTATTTCAGGTACATACGCATATTATGTTATAAAATATAAATTTAAAATTTTTGAAAATTTAAAAAAAAATCATAAGAAAAATTAATAAATATTATGTATAAAATATTTGTATTGATATAATGATATTAATAATATTAATAAAAATTTTTGATTGATATTATTAATGATCAATAATAACAAAAAATATATATTTGTTTACTTATGTATATTAAATATGATAACAATATGAAACATATTGTTATAAAATATTGAAAAAACTTTAATATTTAAATCAAAAATGTAATTAAGATATTAAAATTTATAATTATAATATTTTATAAAAACATCATGTGTATGTACCTTTATATGCATGTGTGTGTGCGCGCGCGTGCGCACGCGCGCGCGCGCGTGTATGAATACAGTTTTGTTAATATGCATATTTGTATTTACTATTTACATCTACCACAATAATTGCTTAATTCTTGTCAAAATTTATTAAAATGATTTGTTTTATATTTTATTTTATTGTTGATACTCATATCAATAATATAAAATGTAGTAAATACAGGTCAAAATATAAAATAATTTTATTTTCAAATTATTTAAAAGATTTATTTATTAAATGTACTTTTCCATTTACTAAAATTGTTTTAAATTTATTATAAAGAATGAAGAAAATTACTGTAAAGATATAGTAATAATATTTTGATATTTTCAAGTACAAATGAAATAGATTTAAAATATATAAATTGTAATTGAGTAAAACTAATAATATGTGACTTCAAATTTTATTAAAATGTAATATTTATAATTTAATTATGTATATATACGATTCTTTACAATATTATATAATATACTAAAATTCTATAAATATTTACAATCTATGATGCTATGAATTCAATTTCATTAATATCGAATTTATTATGTATATACATTTTATTTATGTATAAATTAGTATTTTATTTATATTATTAGCAATTATTTTCTGTTTGTAATATAATTCATAAATTAGAAAAGAATGAATTTCATTTGATTTTGCATAGTACATAATAAAATTTAAATATTAATATAAACTCTATTCTTTAATGGTATTATTAATATGTTATCAATATATCTATAAATTTTGAATTTGATATAAAAAAGCTTTATTATTAATTGAAATTAATTTTTTAAATATTAATAGATTTATTACATATCATAATTATAAATAATTAAGTAATAATTTAATAATTATAATTTATGATTTTGGTAAACGATATAAGCCACCTGAAAACAATAACTGATGTTCTCTAACTTTTCTATCAAGAAATTGCCTCAATTCAGGTAAGCCACATTCCATTGCTCCTGGACCTTGAGATGCAAACATTTTTAACATTTGATGAATTCTTTCTAGAGGCATAGAATCTAAATTAGTTAACATGCCGACAATATAAGACCAGAACACTTGAAGTTCTTCTTCTCTTTGATCACTTGCAGATGCCATTGCGCTTTC